TAAGAGTCCTCCTGATAAATAAATGGCCATTGGTGCTTCCTTTATAGGATGGAAGAGAAAATTTGTAACTACACAACCCATCTTACCTAAAGCCATTCAGATCAAAGCTGCCTCCCAACACAAGCACATTTGCCTCAGCAGCTAATATCCCATCTTGAATCCATCTGTTAATTCAGGTTTCCCTCATCATACCACCTAGTAGGAAACCCTCTGCTTCCCTCTGCCTTCAGTGCCAACCTCTTTTTATTTATCTAGTTGCTCAAAACCACATGGAACAGTCTCCAAATTAACTTCACCTGTCCTACCCCTGAGTTTTAGTGTCAGAATACATTTCATAGATCAAGGATTCTCAAACTGTGGTATGAGGAAGCTACAGTATTTCTGTACAAGTACACATCCCAAAGACTCACAAGCTTGTCATGCCATGTACCTGATAAGAACTCCTAGGGTGACCCCAAACCCTCAGATAACCCACAAGAATGAAAGGCAGGGACATATGCATTATAGACATTTGGTTAGATATAATCAGGAAAGACAGACAAGAATTTAAAGTTAACATGACACCATGTTATATCACCCCCCACTCACACAAAGCAGGGAGGCTGCAGAGAAAAGGACTGTTAGATTACAGAGTGTTCAGTTGTTACACACATGGAACTAAATTTTATTCAAAAATTGCTTTTAAATCTAGTGTGCCATTTTATTTGAGCAGAAATAACAGCTGTCTTTTACACAGCTGCCTCTGTGTAAAAGACAGTGTGGAAGACATGGAGCTGTTAAAGAGCTGAGAGTTATTTCTGATACTGCCACTACTGCAGCTGGGTACAATTCCTCCTTCAACTAAAATTGTTCTTCATGGCTAGGGCATGCATAACAAGTTAAGGGAACTGATCTATTAAAATGAACAAACAGCTCTGCAGTTACTGCTGATGGTGAGCTATTTCACTGCTCCATCTTTATGGTGCATTTCTACAACAGTATTGGCAGGAAGGACTAAGAATGGTTGAAGACTACTTGGTCATTAACTGGTTTATGGTTGGTTTGTTCATTTTATTGGGGGGTTTTAAATATAACTCATTTCTGCATATACCTCCACTGACGAGAATTTTTTAGTAGCATTGGAAAGGGGAAAATAAGGTGTCATAAACAGAAAGATTTTGCTAGTTTAAAAACAACTCAATTGTTCCCTGACAATGCTGCTTTGGATCACACTTCCTGCAATAACAGGAAATCAGAGAGAGGCGACAGGAGATATGCAGGCAAGAGAGACAGAATTAAGTTCTGTCCATCAAGAAACATCAATCCAACTCATTTTTTTAATATGGTTATGGTCAGGTAATGTACAACTGTTATATTGGGCAGAAGGTGATAAAGCTGGTGACTAGGGTGATAAGTGCTTGGGGCACATATAGGGAGGCATTAGAAAAGACAACTACATTTGCAGTGAAGAACATTACAACATAACTAAAATGCCAACATATATCCCTTTCTTGAGAGTGCATGGAAGCATTCACCCCTTCTCACTGAAGGATCAATAAGCATCCTCTGTACCATCATCAATCATTCCACAGACAATACTGAGATGTTGACAGAAGAAAGAATGAAGGAGAAAAGAAGGAGCATGGGGAAGGAAGAAAGGGGCAATTCAGAAACAGCATCTTGGTTAAATGCCAGCTGCAGTGACAAGAAAAGTAGAAAGCAACAGAAGGCGAATGGGTTAGGAACAGTCATGCCCTTCAGAGGACAAAGTGACATTCTTTAATTGCTCAGGAGACTTTCAAAATTAGGTGTCTACCTCCAGCAGAGTGAAGATTAATCTTCATGGAACAGTTTGTACGACGAGTTGTTATATGTTGGAAAGTGCAGTTTTAGGTGAAATAGTTGATAGAATCAAATAAGTATTTCAAGAAAACAAGAGGAGTGAAATGTATTTACTGTGAGTTAAACCAATCCAGATTATTACACTGATGTCAGAGCTTTTAAAACTCTATTACGGAGACATGTAACAGACAAAAATAATAATAACTTCTTTGCTATTTTTCCTTCAGGGATAACTCATTATTTAACTGGCTTTATTTTCCTGTTCAGATTGCTGTGAGATTCTGGTTTGGTCTTCAAATTATTTAGGGAGGGAAAGGTACTTTTAATCCTTGTGGGCAGGGAATGGCTATTAACTATAGTATTCCACAATTAAGCTGTAGGTATTCTGCCAAAGCCTGGACAGATATGTAAATTGAGTCCCTTTGCAAGCATTTAGTGAAACATACATGCACCTGAGAGCTGCAGTCATGCTGAAGGAAGCTAACCGCTCTTACAGTAACAGGCCCTGTAGAAACAAGGCCAAATACAAGTGCTCTTGTATTTTGCTAGTGCACAAGTACTAACTGCATTTATATTTTTAATTCAGACTGACAAATTTTCAGTTGTTCACCTGCCATGGAAAGGTACTTATTTGCACTCCCCACCTCCCAATCACTTCCTCTGGTAAAGAGAGTCACTTCTCCTCCCTTAACACTTCCCTCATCCCTCCTTTAGCCAAATAACTTTTAGTGGCAATGCTCCATGAAATGATTTGCTGATGAGGATGTAGACAGCACACTTATTCCATAGAAGTATTTGGAATATGATAGATCCAGGCAGCACCTATACATAGACCTGCCACCAGAAAACCATTTAAAATTTAACCAATTAGCTATTTCAGAAATGCAATTAAAATGTCCATCTACTCTTCTTAAAAGGAAGATTTACATGAGCTTCCTTCCTCATAAAAAGTTATGTAGTCCTCTAGTGTAACCATGCAGCTTGATGACTGTCTGTACCTCGGTTTCCAGAAGAGACACAAGCATCTAAGTTACAGGAAAATGTGGACATTGGGTCTATGCTCAGTGAACCACAGGGGTTTTCCATTTTGGTTTCTGACTGTTTAGAGAGCAGTTCCCTTACATAATTTTATTCAGTCATAATTAGCATCACTCAGAAGTCCTCAGATCAAGACCAACCTCCTGAAAACTAAAGGCTGGACGATTCTCAGAGTAGACACTTAAGTTATATGTCCAGAGAAGTAGGGCTGATGACCATCAGTGTATGCTCTAAGTTATATGTCCTTACACAGGACATCTCTAGTAGCTACAAAGAGTAAGGCGAGGCATCTTTCCTGATTTATTTTAGGTTGATGGGGATATTATTTGTTTTCCCATATTTTAATGTGAAAACAGTAATGCACAAGCACTACTGAGACAGCTAAAGGAGGAAAAATAGGAAAAACAACTTCATGAAAAATGTCTGAGGAGAATATTCCACTCCAGCTATGTTATATTATCAAGCTGGTCATGCAGTAACTGGAAAGAGAGACAGGAGAGTCTTACTGCAAATGACCTGCCAATGCTCCAAAGCAACCACTTTAACTCTTGATGGACAAGCACCTACTTTTTGAATGAAAACCTCTTAAGCACATATCCAGCAAGTGATATCTAAAACCAAATCTCAGAGGTACCAGATCATTCTATAGTATTTTTTACAACGTTATTTTTTGCACGTGACAACATGAATACATATTTACAACTACAGTGATAACAGTGTAAAAAGTTATATATTTTGTGTCAGAACATGTAAATGGCTCTTAAGGACTATATAATATATACTAAATACACATACACAAAAGCTATGTCCACAGTGAGGATGGATGAGAATTGTTTTCCTCAGATGTGAAACCATAGGAAGGATCATCAAATTAACCAGATTGTTTGTGACAGGGTTGGATAGATAGGGGTTCAATGTGCCCTGAAGTCTACACAAGGTCAAACTCTCAATTTAAACTTGAAGCAAATTCTTCTCCAGGGAGCCATAATCCTCATCCTGTTAAAATTCTGCTCAGTCCAGTGATGAAGGCTTTGACTGCTTTAAATACGACTGAAATCCACTAACAGAAACTTCAGAAAAGGCTGTCAGGACCTGTACTAAAATTTAAGCCATTTCAGTTATTTTATTGGAAGGAGAGCTGGTGAACTGGGAGAATAAGGAAGGGATGGGACTAGATGAGTGAAACAATTTAACTATCTTCCAACAGTAAGATAAGCAAACCAATTAAAAGGATTGTCATCCTGTAATTACCAGAGCACTTTGTATTACAGAGGGAGCTGAAGCTTTGTTGCACAACAAACAGTCATGCTTGTAATTTAATATGAATAATGAGCCAGATGCATGAACAAGACTATTAAATTGTTATCACAAGCAGCCGTGTCCCTCATTGATTAATGACTCTGTGTGTCACCAAGGAAAGGATCTCCATTTTTAAGTGTGGATTGTCATCAACGTTGCCAAAGCAACTGCTGTCTGCTTTCGACTTACTCCTGAAGGTAGCAATTAAACCATTACATGAGGAAACAAAACAGTGATTATTCTCTTATGTGAAAACCGAAGGCAGTTAAGAATAAGGACTGGGGAAGCTAGATTTGTTTCCCAAGATAAATGTATCTTACAAAAAAACATGTTCAAGGTCACAGAACATTCTCAATATTAAATTTATCATGGTCCTCCACTCAGCTTCAAATTTGATGCTAATCAAAATCTGGAATAGCTTCATACACTAGTAGAAACCCAGAAGGACCAACAGAAAGACATGAATAAAAAAACCTGACAGGTATGAAACCCACTTATTTTACAGTAAATAAAATCAACTTGCAGAAGGCATAGTCAAATAAGAAAACAGGTGCATTCTCTCTATATGTTCTTTATAAAGACTATTTATATAGAAATAATATCTATGTGCAGACATAGATGAATATACACTCCACATGACTCATCCAAAATATATGCTTGACCCTGTGTTTTTTGTTGTTGTTTTATT